CACATTTATGACCTTTGCAGGTCTATAAAGCAAAGAAAGCTGAAGTAAGATCGTAAATACAGTTGCTGTTTAATTTTGCTACTGTTCTGCTTAACAGTTGAGTTGTTGGTCCCAATTATGATAGTTAAATATATTGTAAAATGTGTTTGAATGGTTTCAAAGCTGCAGATATAGTAGAATTTCTACTACTTTTACAACCAAGATTTGCCAAGAGTTTTGAACTGCCAAATAATTCAAACTCTTACCTTACATTAAAATTCTGAGCCATTACCATGTGGTCCACTTGTAAACCAAAAATATTTTATTTTATATTTATATTTTATTTATTTTATTATATCTAAAAACAGTTACAGTATGTAAATTGTATGTTTTATATCTGGTTGCTTTAAATAAATAAATCAGGGCCTTCTATTATCAAAAATTGCATTTATTATTTTTCATTATTTCTTTTCCACAACACCTCCCCTCATTGTTACTGCAACATTTACAGTATGTATTCCTGATTAAGTATTCCTGATTTAGGAAGGATTCTTATAAGTATAAATTGACCTAGTTTGCACTAAACCATAATATGGTTTATTGGTTTTAGCTTTATGTACTCTGTGAATCTAATCATTGTGATTTGTAAATGCTAACTTATGGCCTAATATGTGAACCTGACTATTGTGAATAAACAAACAAACCATGGTTAAAATAAATAGCAGTTTATCACAACTTGTAAACACAGTTTTATTAAGTTTAAACTACAAATTTAGTAGGAGACAGCAAACACTGTGGGGTGAATTTCTGAAACAAACATATGTATAGTCCAAGGTCAAATCAGATTTCTGTTGATTATATGTTGATTTTCTCCACAAAATAAATTGACACAGTATTTAAGACAATGAGAACATTTAAGACAACGAGAAACATGTTTATTCAAGTATATTTAATTAATGCAATGCTAAGAGCCTGTCTGTTAGAGAGCTTGCCTTTGTCATAGAAAAGTTGGAGATGAATACAGGTAGTCCTCGTTTACCAACCACTTGATTCACTGGCCATTCAAAGTTACAGTGTTATTATAAAAGGAGACTTGCCACCGGTCCTCAAATTTACAGCCAATGTAATGTCCCTCCAGTCCAAATTCATATTTGGCTGCTTGGCAACTGACACACATTGACGATGGTCTCAGCATCCTGTGATCATGTGATTGTTATTTATGAGTTTCACAGCCTGGTTCCAACAAGCAAAGTCAATGAGAAAATTGGCAGGAGGTTGCAAGTCGAAGTTGTGTGATGTCATGCTTAAGGACTCACGGTGATTTGCTTAACAACCATAGACAGAACGGAGAAACTGATGTAAATCAGGCATGGTCATGTGATTTTTTTCATATTATAACTAGATCATTTAGCAATAGAGTTGCTGGTCCCAATTTCAGTTGGTAAGTGAGGACTACTGTTCTAGCAAAAGTCTACAATTTCTTTTTAAATTGCTTTTATATGTGAGTTGTTCACCTTGGTATTCCCCGAAAACTTTCAAGACTACTTACATACTGGTTTTGAGTCAACTTCTGTCTACACATGCAGCTATAAAACCTGTGCTTGTTGCATAAATTAAATAAATACCTTAGTCATGTTCAACTCTGCAGGCACTGCTGGGTCACGAAAACCTTAATCTTCATAAAAGATGGATGTCATTAAAAAAATACATTATCTCAGAAAGGAAATGATTTTTGTTTTTAATATGTTCATGGTAACATTCACCACCCATCATGATTTTGTATCCCCAGGCATATTAACTGATGTATCCAGTTTCTTCCAAACTCATTACATTGTTTTACAAACATTAATTCCAGGGGAACTTTTCACAAATCACACATCAGTGTAAAGTGTTTTAGCAAAGTGTATTTGTGAAAATGGGTATTGTGATTTGTAAGCCAAGTTTTATATCATGTTTTTATGTGCTGATATCCTCATGATAGTGTATCAATAAGCTACTCTTAAATCTCAGATTTAGCTTAGGAATCTTATGTGACCAAGCATTTTCACAATTCCCTGGATAAACATCTTCAAATCTTCAAAGGGCCTGGTGGCTCAGCAGACTGATAGCATTGTGATTAACACCAGCTGTCTGCAATTACTGTAAGTTCGAATCTCACCAGACTCAAGGTTGACTCAGCCTTCCATCCTTTCTAACGTAGGTAAATTGAGGACCCAGTTTGTGGGGGCAATAAGCTGACTTTGTATAAATATACAAAAGAATGAAGGCTATTGCTTAATGCATTGTAAGCCGCCCTGAGTCCCCGGAGAAGGGCGGCATATAAATCAAATTAAAAAAAAAATTAAAAAATCTATGACAGTTATGCAAAAAGGAGAAAGTGCAGTTCCAGTGTCTATTTGTTTTATGGTTAAATTTGTTAAAGGCTCTTAAAACCTCTTTTGATGTAAAAGTCCAGCATACATGTTTAAGGATAAAATGGAATTAATAATAAATTACACTGGGTTTTTGGTAGACCAACGCATAATTGTTCTTCATCCACAGATATGAAGTTGGCAAACATAGCTGCAGCAAAATGCATGGCTAATTGAAACTGCTACTGTTCTGAATGGTGTAGATCAGTTCCAACGTTGGTGTTTGTTTTGTCCATTGATATCCTGAGCGAAGGGATAGAAAATATTGCCTGTTGGAAAACAGGTGAAGAGTTAGTGCCATTATTGCAGTTGGTTGAGAAAACTGTTAAGAACTGTCAGAAAAGTGTTGCACAGTTAGAGCAGAGGTCTTCAAACTTGGCAGCTTGAAGACTTGTGGACTTCAACTCCCACAATTCTCCAGCCTGCATCGCTGGCTGGAGAATTGTGGGAGTTGAAGTCCACAAGTCTTCAAGCTGCCAAGTTTGAAGACCTCTGAGTTAGAGCTTGACTTACTACCTCACGTGGGACTGGAATTTCTTTTGCTAAGTGAGGCCATTGTTAAGTGAGATATACCCAATTTTATGACCCTTTTTTGCCATGGTTGCTATGTGAATCAACCCAGTTTGTTAAGTGAATCCAGTTTGCCTCATTGGCTTGCTTTGTTGGAAGCCAGTTGGGAAGGTCACAAATGGGGATGACATGATCCTGGATGATACTGTAAAAGTCATCAATTTGTGCTGGCTGCCAAATGCCTGAATTTTGATCATATGATCTTTGGGGTTTAGGGTACTACTTTTTTCACCCCCGAATAATATTGTTACCGAAGGCACCTAACAGTTAAAAAGGACTTCAGTAGAGGTTCTCTGTGATAATTGCTGGACATATTAAAAGAATTAACATTAATTTCAATAAAATAGGAGAAGAATAGAGGGCAGGATGTATTGCTACATTAGAGCAGAATTTTGTGGAAGGATATTTTTATTATCTGATTAATGAGAGGAGTGTTCAGATGATTGAGGAAGGGATGTTAGTAGCAGAATGAATTCAGTTGTCTTCCAATAAGCTGCTCAAAATACAACTAAATCTAGAACCTGGTGGAATGATTTTGCAGCCATAATACATCCTTTGACAGAATCTTTGGATGACTAGATTCATTTATGAGCAGAAAAATGAGTGATATGGTAGTTTCTATTGCTATGCTCCTGTATTTTATCTGAGGCAGAGGAGATATCCAAGGTTAGTAAAGTTAGGATACTGTAGCAATGCATTTTGTTCCTTCCATTACAACTGTAGTAGGTAGCAATGTCAATTAGGCAGTTCTTGTTCAAACTATTTGTTAACCATGAAAAGCACCAATAGTTGTGGCAGTTCTTAAGCAGTGTAACTTCATCCAAAGGATATGACTGCTTTAATCATTCAATCATTACTTTTGGACTCAGACATGATGCAAAATCTCTCTTTAGATGCTTTATATAGTGCTGTAAGTTAATGAAATCTTCCTTAATTTTCAATCAGCATAGAAATATTTCGTTCTTGATACTTTAGAAATGGACTAGAAATGGAGTTTGAGAGTAAAGATTTAGTCTATTTCTGCTAAATTCTGGTTTTAAAGAAAGCAATGTTTCTGTAATAGAGCTATTGATTTTTTAGATAATATTTTGAAGCATATTTTAAAAAATTAATTCTAAAATAAAATTGCAACCAGTGGTCACTTCTCCCAACATAAGCAGATATTATTGACATTAAGTTGTAAAATAAAAATAAGATAAAGTGAATTATTCTGTAACTTAGTTACTATCTAAACCTTACCTTACTACCTAAATTAAAATGCCAAATGATGTCATGAGTATTAAAAGAATAACCTTTACCGTTATGCTACAACAATTAGTATGGTATGCAAATCTTAAAGTACAATCTATTCATAATTCCCATTGCTATAAAAATTACTTTTCTAACTTCTGGCCACCATGAACATTATAAAGTTCTCCAAAGTATATGCGATTTGCACCCACATTCACCAACATTTAAGTAAAAAATTAGTTTGAAAAAAAAAACCAGTGTGTGTGAGCAACATATTTGCACATGTAGTTTGATTGTATTTGCTTCACACCAATGGATACATTTAATAAAGAGACATATCTGATAGTTTAAACACATGGTTATATTTAAATCTTTCTGGAAAAGCACAATTTTTTCAGCAAATACAGTTTTAAACTGCCTAATGATATTAGCTAATTTGAGTACCCATCATTTGAATTCATACATTCAAACATATTTTTTTTCATAGATACCTACCAGTTTAAGAGATGGAAGAGTTTATTCTACCATACTGCTTGTTCACATACTGGTATTTTATTTTATTTTAAACTGGTATTACCTATGAATGTCTCACTTATTTTCTTGGCCAAGTTGTATTTAATTTGGTTGATAGATGAAGAATCTACAAGATAACTTATGAAAATACAGAATAGTCTTAAAATTAATTTAATATTTATATTTATAAATTATTAATTTAATATTTATATTCTTAATATTTACTTAATATTACTTAATATTTACTCCCTTCTCACATATTTTATATATAAAGCACACTTAAAAGTTACCTTAGGCTTAGAGCATTTTAAGAAGATGGGTTATGAACAGCAGGCATCCTTTAATTTCTAAATGGATCATTTCCCAGGAACAACTACTATATTGCTTCACAGTTAGGAAATTGTTGATTCTTTGAAAATATCTTTTCACTTTTAGAATTAGCAAATAAGATGTCACGTTGTCACAATTCCTTGGTCCCTTGTGCATCTCAGTTGCATTCAAGCACGTTTCTAGGCTCTTCGTTTGCTGGTAAAGGACGTTCTTTAGGTTTTCGAAACATGTTGAGTTCCAGGCTTGGTAGAAATGGGCATTTGAAAGAAGGCAAGAAATCTGTTGGAGGAGCTCATAGATTATAACTGCATTGTCTCCATTACTGACTTCAAGAACTTCCCGAGGAAATCGGAAGTCTGTCAGTTCGTGTATGCATTGCAGTGGAATTTCTTCATTTGTTCTGCAGAGATGAGGTAGGTTATTCTGGATCAGTTGCCTCCACTGAGCATGAAAGACAGAGCATCTGAAAACCGAGAATTGACTGGGTTTTGCAAAGAGAACTAGCACAAGGCAAACTTTTAAGACATCGTTATGAGTGAGGGTGATCATGATGATAGCGGAGACTTGTGTTTCCTGAAGTCTCTTTAAATACATTTTTGGAGTCGAATATTTAAAATCTGTCTTCCTTGTTAATTTATTAATCATAATATAGTTTCTTCCGGGATCTAAATGCCTTTAGGGCATATTACTTTGTGTTCCTCTCAAATGAAGACTTGCTGAGATTTGGGGTGGTTCTGTCCCCACCCTGCCAATCTTCTACATTCTTAAACAAATTGGGTTCACAATGTTTATCTTGGAAAATGCATTGGGACAGTACTTCCCAAACCTGGATAAATTACTCCAAATTGGGTAAAAGTGGTTTTTCTTTGGATAACGGCACATGAATCCATTATTCATCACAATACAGACATTTAAATTAAGTTAAAGAATGCCATGGGTACTAAAATATATTAAAAATATCCCAAACTATTCCTATTAAGTTGAAAATTGATGAAATTATCAATGATAATTTGTTGAAATGAAATAAATATTCAATTATATCATTTTGATCATACAGGTAACCCTCAAATTATGACCATTCGAAGTTACAGTGGTGCTGAAGGAAAGGACTTACTACCGATCATCAAAGTTTAATAAGACTTTCCAATAAGCAGTGTTGGGAATGAAGTGAAAAGATTGAGAAGCACTGCATTAGGAGAATCAAGGACTTGGAAAAAGCATTAGGTTCTGTATGGGAATGATCTGGAGATAATGGAATCAGAGAGATAATAGGTATATTTAAGGGCAAAACTGGAGACCAATGGAATGAGGGGGGAGAAAAGAAATTGACATACTTATGTTAAGTATGTCCTTGTGAATGTTTATAAGAATGTGTTTAGAGAGTAACAGCCAGTGGTGGCAAAGTGGTCAGAATGCATATTGCAGGTTAACTCTGCCGACTGCTAGCAGTTCGATACTGACCGGCTCAAGGTTGATTTAGCCTTCCATCATTCCAAGGTCAGTAAAATGAGGACCCAGATTGTTGGGGGTGACATACTGACTCTGTAAACAGCTTAGAATTCAGAACAAATAAATGGAGGGGTGGGGGGAGGAATAATAATTTTGAAGGAATTGATCTATGAGTAATCTTCCTCTTAATTTTGTAGATTAAATTCCTTTTAAATCCATTTAATTAGAGGTCATTTGGTGAACTAAGTTCCACCTCCCATAATTTTTATCGTATTTTATAGATTACAAAAAAATAACAGTGCAGGACTACAAAAGATAAATAAAACAATCAAGCTAATTGAGAAACAAAACAAAAAAATAGAAGAAACCCCATTTGAAAAAAAGAGCAAAAAAATGAAAAAGTGTCAATATTAAGCCTGATTGATTATGTGCCATTAAGTCATTTTTGACTCCTAACAATCACATAGATTCTTTTTTCCATGATGATCTATCCCTAAACTGTTCTTTTAAGACTCCCAACAGCATACACACTGTAACTGTAACAAGCCATCACCTTGCTGTTGGTCATCCTCTTTTTCTCTTTCCTTCCCCCTTTCCCAGCATAAGAGTTTTTTCAAGAGAGCTGAATCTTCACAAAATGTGTCTGAAGTAGGATAATTTGAGCCTGGAGTGAGAACTTTTGAATGGATTTCTTTGATGGTTCATTGGTTTGTTTTCTTGTTGACCATGTTTTCTTTGCAAGAGTCTTCTCCAACTCCAAGGACTAAGTCTAGTTATATCTATGTCTACATGCAGTCATAAAGGGAAAAATCATGTGACCCCCCCCCCCATCGACTTACAGTGGCAGTTTGTCCGTTACTGCTGTGGTCATTAAGTGAATCACTCACAGTTATTAAATTTAATGTCATATGTTCACAATTTGCAAAACTCCTGCCATTTCTCCATTGACTTTGCTTGTCTGAAGCCAGTTGTGAAGGTCACAAATGGCGATCACGTGACCATGGGATGCTGCCAACATTGTAAATGTGTACCGGTTATCATGATCACATGCCTCTGGGGATACTGCAACTTTGAGGACCAGTTGTTAAGTCTCAGTATTTAACACTGTTGTAACTTCAAATGGTTGTTGAATGAATGCTTGGTGAGCAAGGACTATCTGTATATACAGACAGTTATGATAGCAGTTGGCACCAGGATTGCTGTTGCAAAGTGATACAGTCATAAAATTCAGTGCTTCCTAACCGTATTGCGTAGCGATAACAATCCAAGAAGCCCCAGTTGCCTTCATAAACCTGAGATGTGAAAGTTGTTAAGTGGGAAGTTCCAGGTAAAAGTACAGGGGTTCCACAGGAGTCTGGGATAGATCATGGGAAGGATTCAATCTGGGTCGGTTACCAGGATCAGAGGTTTTCTCTTCCAAACTTTGGGACTCATGGTGGAGCCATCCTCAGGGAACCTCTCTGTGCTTTGGGTTGTTCTGTGTGTGGTGTTTATATGATGGCTGTTGTGTGTAGAGGGGATTTTAGATGTAGATTGGGGTGTTGATGTCTGGCTGGTGTTGATGGCTGATGGATCATGGGAAGCCCAGTTACAGGCTACAGATAAGGTGAAACTCGAAAAATTAGAATATTGTGCAAAAGTTCATTTATTTCAGTAATGCAACTTAAAAGGTGAAACTAATATATGAGATAGACTCATTACATGCAAAGCGAGATAGTCCAAGCCTTGATTTGTCATACTTTTGATGATTATGGCTTACAGCTCATGAAATCCCCAAATTCACAATCTCAGAAAATTAGAATATTGTGAAAAGGTTCAATATTCTAGGGTCAAAGTGTCCCACTCTAATAAAGCTAATTAAGCCATAACACCTGCAAAGGATTCCTGAGTCAAGGTTGACTCAGCCTTCCATCCTTTCTAGGTAAGTAAAATGAGGACACGGTTTGTGGGGGCAATAAGCTGACTTTGTATAAAAAAGAACATCGCTTGGGGGGAGGGTGAAAGCCCTACTAAGCAGGTATATACGAAAGTATGAAGGCTATTGCTTAATGCATTGTAAGCTGCCCTGAGTCTCCGGAGAAGGGCGGCATATAAATTGAACCAAATAAATAAATAGTCAGGAAAAGGCCGTTCAAAAGTGTTGGGAACTTTCACAAGGAGTGGACTGAGACTGGAGTCAGTGCATCAAGAGCCACCACACACAGGCAGATCCTGGACATGGGCTTCAAATGTCGTATTCCTCATGTCAAGCCGCTCCTGAACAACAAACAATGTCAGAAGCATTTTACCTGGGCTAAAGACAAAAAGAACTGATCTGTTGCTCAGTGGTCCAAAGTCCTCTTTCTGATAAGAGCAACTTTTGCATCTCATTTGGAAACCAAGGACCCAGAGTCTGGAGGAAGAATGGAGAGGCACACACTGCAAAATGCTTGAAGTCCAGTGTGAAGTTTCCACAGTCTCTGTTGATTTAGGGAGCCGTGTCATCTGCTGGTGTTGGTCCACTGTGCTTCATTAAGTCCAGGGTCAACGCAGCCGTCTATCAGATTTTGGAGCACTTCATGCTTCCTTCCGCAGATGAGCTTTATGAGAATGCTGACTTCATTTTCCAGCAGGACTTGGCACCTGCCCACACTGCCAAAAGTACCAAAACCTGGTTCAATGACCATGGGATTACTGTGCTTGATTGGCCAGCAAACTCGCCTGACCTGAACCCCATAGAGAATCTATGGGGCATTGCCAAGAGAAAGATGAGAGACATGAGACCGAACAATGCAGAAGAGCTGAAGGCCGCTATTGAAGCATCCTGGTCTTCCATAACACCTCAGCAGTGCCACAGGCTGATAAGCATCCATGCCATGCTGCATTGAGGCAGTAATTGATACAAAAGGGGCCCAAACCAAGTACTGAGTACATATGCATGCTTATACTTTTCAGAGGTCCAATATTGTTCTATGTACAATCCTTGTTTTATTGATTTCATGTAATATTCTAATTTTCTGAGATTTGTGAAATTGGGGTTTTCATGAGCTGTAAGCCATAATCATCAAAATTATGACAAATGAAGGCTTGAACTATCTCGCTTTGCATGTAATGAGTCTATCTCATATATTAGTTTCATCTTTTAAGTTACATTATTGAAATAAATGAACTTTTGCATGATATTCGAATTTTTCGAGTTTCACCTGTATTTCCTTTTGTCTGTCTTGATTCTTTCAGGATTTAATTTCCTTTGGTGACCTCAGGTTCTAGTACTTGGGGAAAGAGAAAATAGCAATAGCACTTACTCAACTCCATGGTGTTTTACAGCACTCACTAAGCAATTTGCAGTGTCAGCATATTATCATACATGTGCATCCTTTGGAGGCTAGCCCTGAGTGAGATCATGCATTTTATATAATAATTTTGTATAACTGTATGAGCCAGATGATTAATATCCCTACTACTGCAGGCTAATTCTTCCGACTGCCAGGAGTTCAACCCTGACTGGCTCAAGGTTGACTCAGCCTTCCATCGGTAAAATGAGGTAGGTAAAATTAGAACCCAGATTGTTGGGGGCAATATGCTGATTCTGTAAACGGCTTTGAGAGGACTGTAAAGCACTGTGAAGCGATATATAAGTCTAAGTGCTATTGCTGTTGCTAATCAGGTTTTACAAACTACTACCCTCGAAACATTTTCACTTATACGCATACTGGGTTTTTTTTAGTAGTGCCCTTGAATAAATCATTTGTAGCCCCATAAAGAAAAAGAAACACATTTTCACAACAGTCACATTCAAAATAACAATTACATTTAGCTATCAATGTTTAGACTGACAGATCAGTCATTAAGTAAAGCAGTTGTTAAATGATACCGTGGCTGTGCCTACAGTTGTACTTCAGCTTTCATTTACTTTACAGACCTGCAAAGATCATAAATGCAAAGATTTGGTCCCAAAGTTACTTTCTCATTAGTGTCATAAATATGGTCAGTTGCTAAGTCAGTCACTAAACAAGGACTCCTTGTAGATCTGAAAACATTATTTGCAACTGCTCTGATAGTGAATGCTCCTGTGTCTTATATGTTTGTTGTTCAATTTTTTTTCTGTTAGAATTCTTTCAATGCATGAAACTGCATTCTGCCAAAATTTATGATAGTGAAAAAAG